TGGGTGAGAGAGAGAAGGACAAGGCCAACTACACTTCTGGGTTTCTGGCCTCTGGTAGACAATCATTCATTTCCAGAGAGAGCAAAAGAGCAGAATTCAGGGCAAAGCTGGAAATCTGGTTTGAGCTTGTTGAGTCCTAGGAATGCTGGGGATAGATATCTAGTTGAGATGCCTGGTGGGCAGTTGCTAGAAAGGAAGGATGCAGATCTGGTCGTCACCAATACATGATGTCGTGCTTGGCCCTGTGATGCCCTCCTGTGCTCACAACTATTCAGGAGGCTGAGGCAGAATTGCTTGGGCCCAGGAGTCTGGAGCCAGCCTGGGCAGCACAGAGAAACCCTGCCTCAAAACGAACACTTATCCAGTAGAAATGGAAATATGGGTGGGAATCACCCAGGTAGGGAGTCTGTGTAGGGTTTTAAAAAGAGGGATTATTTAAGGAATGAGTGTTGCAAAATCTGAAGCCAAGGGGAGGAAATGAGAGGGAATCAGTGTTAACTTGACTCTACCTGGCTCGTCCACTTATTTTGAAAATGAACTTGTTGAGTTTTGTGGAAAATCTTGTGTAGTTAATCTCATAATTTCATTGAATTTGTGATTTTTTTGGGAAAGATTTAATATCTTTAGGTAGCATCCACCCATAAACACTTTCTCCCCTGCATTTATTTAGGCATCCTGTCTTCCCTTGCCTTCCCATCTCATCTCTTCGCTTTCTGTGTTACTGGAGATTGAACACAGACTGTGCTGAGCTACAGCTCCAGGACTTTTTATGGTTTTGTTTTGGGGCATAATCTTGCTAAATTGCCTAGGCTGACCTTAAATTTGTGTCCTCCTGCTTCAGCCTTCAAGTAGCTGAGATTACAAATGTGAGTCACCATACCTGGTTTATGTCTCTAAATAATGATAACTCAGTTTTCTCTGTTAAAAGGTTTCATATTTTGTTAAGTTTATTACCAGGTACATTATGTCTTTGTGTTCTGTAGAGAACCCTTTCCCATCCTAGTCACAGTCCAGAAAGGTTTATATTTGTAGTCCCAAAGGGAAGTTACTGGAATTCTAGTGAGTTAATTCTAATCTACCACTTCCAGTGTAACCCAAGGTGCAAATAAAGGCACTAAGATATATACAGTTATGAGGAGCCAAGGGGCCCTAAGTCCAGCCACATGGTGGTTCATCAGAACAAAGACCAATACCTGGCCCTCAACCTGGGTTTTATTAATTCTTCATGTGACAGAGACAGTGGCGGGAAATACATGACTACCATGACTACAGTGAGCTGGGCTGGGTAGGAGGTCTGAGTTCACCTCTGCAATATGCAGAGGGCATTAAATGCAGAGACAGTAATCTGTATAACACAGCTAAAAGTAGTAGCTAATAATCTGGGCTTGGTACTTAGGTCTAATATACAATCCTTTTTGCCCTGGGAAATCGTAACCTCTGTATTGAGGCTCCGTTCTAGGGTTCTCCATCCTGCCCAACTCAACCACGTATTTGGGGAGTCACCGGGCAGGGTAACCCTGACTTATCTTTTTTGCTTCAGAGATTACACATCATCTCCTCAACCAGCCAATTTACAATGCTTAAAACCAACTGAAGGGACAAAGAAATAGCTCAGCCAGCTCGGTACATATCAATACATGGGGATAGGGCCAAGTTTATCCAAAATGGAGATAGTTGCTGTTCTTTTCAAAGAGTCAGGGCCCGGGATTTGGCTCTTTGACATAAGTGCGAGCTTGGCAAGCACAAGGTTGTGAGTTCAATCCCTGGTACCAAAACAAAACAAAACAAAAAATCAAGGAGAGTGGTCTGAGTGGTTCCTCACAGTTTTCTAAGTGGAATAATATTTAAAAATTATATTTTTGAATGCCTTATTTCTGGTATAAAAGAATATAATTGATCTTGAGACACTGATACAGCTTAGCTCTCTTAGAACTCTTTTCAATTTATAGAATCTTTTCTGTTGAGACTTTTGCTGCTTTATTCTAGTCTTTGGTTTATTTTTTCTTGTCCTGGTATTTTTGCCCAGGACTTCTCTTAAAAGTAGAGCAGATGAAGAAAAAATTTTTTTCACACTGAGGATTGAATCCAGGATCTTATACAAAGCCATAACCCCAGCATTTCACTCTTTCTCTCCATGCCTACTCTCTTTGAGTCTTGATGAAGCTGGGCTGAGCTGTCCTCCAGCCTCAGCCTCTCAGTGTGCAGGGAGTATAAGAGTGTGCCCCACATGCCCGGCCAAAATGACCTTTTGTTTGCGACACAGGCTTGCTTACATAGTTCAAACTGGCCTTGAATTCACTGCAGAGCTTAGACTGGCTTCTTTGAAATTGTAGTGCTCCTCCTGGCTCAGCTTCTGTATTGCTGGGGTGTGTGCCACCACTCCTGGCTACAGAATGAGCATTCTTCATTATATTCTTCACTGAAAAGTGAAAGGTTCTTGCCCTAGTATAAATTACTATATAATTATGGCACTGGTCTAATGTGGCAGCCACTTCCTGCTTCTTCTTCAGCCCTTATTGCAACTCTCCTTCCGGTTTGCAAGCACAGAGAATTCCAATCAGTTCCTCACACGTCATCAATATGCACCCCATGCGCCACTTCAAGCAGAGGTCATATAACCCTCTGCCTCTCTGCATCTGGTCGAAGGAGACAGCCCAGCCGCCATGGGTTGTGTGCCCCTTTCCACGTCCTCTACTCAATAAAACTGTTCATTTTGTACTTTTGCTTCTCTATGGTGCCAGAATACATGTATTGTGTAGGTTTGGGGAAGTTATTCTTTGAGATTAAGGCAATTCCCTTTTAATTCTAGCAATTTTCCAAGAGTTTCTATTGTGGACAGGTCTTGGATTTTATCAAATGCACCTTTTGACTTATGGTTCGGAAGTCTCTCTCTCTCTCTCTCTCTCTGTCTCTCTGTCTCTCTCTCTCTCTGTCTCTCTGTGTGTATGTGTGTGTGTGTGTGTGTGTGTTGCATGGGCAAATAAAGCCAGCTGTTGACTGACTTTGGATGCTCAGTTACAAGGTAGTGCTGGCGTGGGTCGGGTAGGTGCTCTGCCTGGCACCCCTCCTATCCATTGCTTTCTCGCTCAGCCAGGGTGTTTAGATTCACTTAGCACTGAAGTGGCTTTGCTCACAGTCCATGTGGGCAATGTCTTCTATTCATATTGAGTCCACCTTTGTTTTTTATTCAAGTTCACTTGTGTCTTTTTTTTTTTTTTTAAAGCAGTGGCAAAGTTTATTTGAAAAAATAAAAGTGAAGAGTAAGAGATAAGGGGGCTGGGGATTTAGCTCAGTGGCATAAGCGCCTGCCTTGCAAGCAGGCAGTCGTGAGTTCGATGTCCGGTACCGATAAAAAGGAAAAAGACAAAAAAAAAAAAAAAAAAAAGAGTAAGAGATAAACTGGCTCTGCTGAGTGAGCTTAGGCTGAATAAAAGAGCAAAAAGCAAGATAAAAGTACCCCCTGTAGGCTGCAGGGCGGCCTACCATGAGGAAAGCCAGGATAGCCCTTGATTGTGTTTTCATTCTTTAGTGTTAGTGATAAATTCCTCCATCTTTATCTAAAAATGCATGAATTTAATCTTCATTCTTAAGTTATGCGTTTGCAGCTGGAGGTGCTATCTTGGGTCCCCCAGGTGAGCTGACTTTGGCAGTGGACCCAGCAGAGACTCCTATTCGGGTCCTGTTCCAACCCCCAGGTGGGGAAAGGTTTACTCTGCAGATAATCTGTCCTTTTACACCCTGGAGGTTTTTAAAGTCTTGTCTTTGCTTTTGGTATTCTTCAGTGTTCCTATGATGGGTATTTATTCAGTTTCTGTATTCTCCCTTTCTGGAATTCTCCTCTTCTGGTGGAAGGGATCAAACCTGGGGCCTCAAGCATGCTCGGCAGTGTGCTACCACCTGAGCTGTTCCCCCCGCCCATGTCTTAACACTCTACTTTTAAAGTGTTAGGTCAGTAGTGTTAAATGTATTCATATTCTTACGCAGCTCACCTCCAGAAGTTTTTTTTAATCTTTGATTAAATAAAACTCCATCCATTCAATAACAGGTTTCCATTTTTTCCTCCCACTGACTGACTGCTGGGAACCAGCAGCTGCATAGTGTTTGACTTTTGCAAACAGCGGGTTTCACTCACCTCGTCTCCTCAAGGCTCATCCATGTTGTGCGAGTAACAGGATCTCCTTCCTGAGTGGCATTCTACCATGTACATGTACCACATTTTGTACATCCATTCATCTGGGCATGGATCCTTGGCCTGCCGTAATTTTTGAGACCTTAATTCAGTTCTTTAGGATATATACAGAGAAGTAGGATTGCTGACATAATAGCTCTCACTTATTTACTTGTGCCAAGGATCAAATCCAGGGCCTTTAGCATGCTAGACTAGTGTTTTACTTTTCTCACTCTCTGGCCATCATTTTAAGATCCCTGCTCCTTGGTACTGGGGTTGAATCTAAGACCTTCATACTGATTTATATCTTCAGTCACTGTTTTTGTTTTTTAGTTTCAAGACAGGATCTTGTTAAGTTGTCTAGGCTAGGCTTAAACTTGGCAATCTTCCTGCCTCAGCCTTCCAGAGTGCTAGGATGACAGGTGTGACATCACACCTGGCTCTTCTTAAGTGTTTGGAGAGCCAACACACTGTTCCCCACAGTGTTACACTGTTTTATACCCTTCAGCCTTGCACAGTATTTCACATCCTCTTTGTGTGGTGTTGATCTGATGTCAGACACCCCCTGGCACACAGCCTTTGTTGCCTTACCTTACCTCTAAGCTCTTGCCCGGATGCTTAGGCTGTGCCTCAGTCACGTGCCTTGCACAGGTAAGCACTGGAGGTCTGCACAAAGGACGCACCCAGAGTCCTGGCCTTTGGATCCTCACAGACCTCCACCTGGCTCCCTGAGGGCCTGGTTTGGGGTTTGGCACTTTCTGGGGTGACCTGTGTCCTGTGACCTGTGCAGTTCTTTTAGCACTCACTGGTGCCATGCTGTCTGTCTCAACAGATCCAACAGGTGCTCCTCCAAGCGGAGCCTTGGAGGGCAAGGCCGGCACCATTACCTCCAACGAGTGGAGCTCTCCCAACTCCCCTGCGGGGAGCAGTGTGTCCGGGGGCAGCCAGGCATTGGACAAGCCCATCGACAATGATGCAGAGGGTGTGTGGAGCCCGGATATCGAGCAGAGCTTCCAGGAGGCTCTGGCCATTTACCCACCTTGCGGACGGCGCAAGATCATATTGTCGGACGAGGGCAAGATGTACGGTAAGGATGTTGCAGGGCTGGGCAGCAGGCCCCTAGGTTCATGGGCCAGGCCTGGAGGAAACAGAAGCAGGAAGAGTGGACACAACAGCTTGTAGTCCTCCCCAGGGCTTCTCTCAGGTGGGCACTGCTTTCTTCTTCCCTGAGTCTCCAAGGCATGAGGGCACCTAAGGAGAACCCCATGAGTGGATGAGGAGGTTGGATGTGGAGAGTGGGACCCTGAGGATGAGATCCTGCAATAGGGGAAAATTTAAGCTGGGCATGTGAAAGTTCGCTCCTTGGACTGGGGGTAGAGCTCAGTCTAGAGCACTTGCTTGGCCTGCACTGGACTCTAGGTCCCACCACTAGGATCACAAGAAAGAAAGATTCACTGAAGCCCTCATCACTCCCTGCTCACTTGCTTATTCCAGGGAGGCCCAGAGCAGGCTGAGCTTCTGTGTGCCATGCTGGGATGCATTTCTGTCCGGTCCCTGCTTGTGATGTAGCCTTGGGCAAATGGACACAACAGGAACTGTGCCCAAGGCGGGCCGTCCCTGAGTCCAGCCATTGTGTGGGAAGGACAGCAGTCGTATAGGCCCACTGAGGAGAAAAAGCAGAATCAAGACAGCAGCTGTTGCAAGGCCCAGGTCAGGCTTCTGTTGCCATCTCTTAGGCCCCCAAGACCTCTAATTTGATGGGGGCCTCAGGACAGGACCTGAGGACTAATAGCACCTCTGTACCTGGCTGACATCAGTGACAACAGTGGGTCCTGTCTGAGTTCCCAACACCATGGCTCCAGGGCAGCTGCCCACTCCTAGGGTTGTCATTCACGTTGCTCTCTTCTCCAAACACTGGTGCCCTCCTCTAGTGCGAATGCCTGTTCAGAAGACCAGGACTTGAAGTCAGGCTGGCTGGGTTGGTGTCTTTGGGGGTTCTGAGGTGACCTGTCCCATGCCTTCCTGCTAGCTTCTATTGTTTGGTGGTGATCTATGGTATTCTTTGGCTGTAGCTGTGTCTTGTCAGTGTTTGGCTCGCTGTCACATAGCTGTCTTCCCTGTGCATCCTTTTCTCATAAGAACACCAGATGTTGGATTTAGGGATTGTCTTAATCCAGTATGACCTCATCTCCAAAGCCCTGTTTCCAGCTTGTGTTAGACTGTGTCAGATGCTGGGCTGGTGGTACATGTCAGCACTTCCTAGCAAGTGCAAGACTCTAGGTTCAAGTCCCAGAGCCTCAAAACAAGACAAGTAGCATCAGCTGCTGAAGTTCTGGGTGGATATAAACTTTGAGGTACACATTGTGTCAGATTTCTGACTTTGACAGACTACTCCAGAAAATCACCTTCAAGGAGGAAATAGTTTATTGGTTCATAGTTTCAGAGATTTTAGTCCATGACTTGAGTCCATGGTTTCTGGGCCTATAGTGAGGCAGCAAGTGCCAGAAGGAGCAGTGAATGCTGGGAAACAGAGCAATAGCGAAGAGAAAGGGTCCAAGGACAGCGTGCAGCCTCCAAGGACCTGCTTACTCCAGGGAGGCCCCTCCTGAGATCCCTGTCTCCTGTGAGCCTACTGAGAATCTTTCAGCGACTCCTCTGCTATACAGTTGTGGCCTCATGATGTAGTTACCATCCAGAGGCTCTGCCTCTGAATACTGCTGCCTTGGGGGACCACACCTTTAGCATGTGAGCTTGAGAGGGGCTATTTCAGATCCAAACCATAATACTCTGCGACACTCTTTAGCTGACTGAAATCAAGTCTGCCTTGTTTCTGGCCCAGGAAGCAGTGAAGTTCTGACACTTTTGCTTCTGCAGGTTTCTCCCAGAGCCCCTCAGGAGGGCAGGGCTGACAGCCAGGCATCTGTCCCCCCAGTGTGGTGCTGCATGCACCCTCACCCCAGATGGCCTCAATGCTCCCTGTCCTGCCTGTGCCTGGCCCTAGCTCAGGTGGGTCAGGCCCTGGACAGGGGACTGGAGACCAAATACTGTGTCTGATGACTCACCTGGCCTTCATGAGTAGAGGTCCTGCAGAGAGCCAGAAGCTGGCTTATCCTTATCTCCTATTACTGTCCCTTGGGGTGAGCCAAGCCCACGCTGCATGGGGAGGCAACGGAGTGCCATTCTGCAGGGCTGGCCCGTCCAGCTTGGAGGTATAGATAGCTCTGAGCTCATTCGCATGTGGGATGGGCCCTCAGGGAGGAGGACTGGGGACGTGCTGCCTCGCTATTTAGACTCCTCTCACTCTGGTGTTCTCCTGTCCTCTTTGCTCCCCTTGAGGATCTGCCAACCCCATCTGGAGGCCCAGCTAGCTGCTAACATCCCCAGGAGTCTTGTCCTTAGCTCCCCACTTCCCTTCACCAGAGGCTGTCATGGGGTGGGCCAGGCCTGCAGGCACACACAGTTCTGAGGACAGGCAGGCTGAACCAGGTGCCAAAAGTAGGGTTTTAAGACCTGGGAGCAGGAACCTGGCTTTAGCTTTGGAGTGCAGGCCAGCCCAGGCCAGGGCACACCCGGCACAGAGCCCATCAAGCCGGGCCAGGCAGACATGCAGATGACATGCAGAGCGCACCAAGGATTAGCACTTGTTATTTCTGCACCATGCCTCCCACGCTTGCTGGCAGTGCCCAGCGCCGCCCACCTTCTCACCTCTCTCTGGCTTGCTCCCAGGGCCACTAGCACACCGCTCCCAGCTGCCTTCGTTTTTGCCCTGTCACTGCCGTGCTGTCACCCCGACCTCTTTCAGCCATGCTGTCACTGGCTGTGTGTGCAGGGAGCAAGGGCGCAGGCTTTGAGGCAGAGCACTTCAGTCCCTTGTCTGCCTCCTTCCTCAGCTCAGCACAGCCCTGCTCAGGGTCTTCCTCCTGCATAGTCATCCTTTGCATTCATTCTTTCCTGCCCCTTTCCTTTGTCTTCCTGGAGGTGGCTCTTGAAGCTCCCTTCCTTTTTTTTTTTAATCTTTTTTGAGACAGGGTTTCAACACGCATTTCAGGCTGGCCTCGAACTCACAGCAATCCTCCTGAGTACTGGGATTATTGGTGTGCACCACAGTGCCTAGCTGTGTCCCCATTTATTCTCTGCTGTGTCCCAGCTTGGTGTCCCAGGTAGTCAGTACATTCTCTCTGTCTCTTTCTCTCTCTCTCTCTCTGTGTGTGTGTGTGTGTGTGTGTGTGATACTAGGCATTAAACTCAGGGCCTTCACACTGAACTGTATCCTCAGTCTTTTCTTAGTTTTTATTTTGAGACAGGGTCTTGCTGTGTCCACTAAGTTGCCCAGCTGGCAACTTAGTGATCTTGTGATCTTCCTGCTTCAGCCTCCCAGAGTGCTGGCATTTCAGGTGTGTACTATCCAGCTAGTCAGTATATTCTTTTTTTTTTTTGGTCTTTTTCGTTTTCGTTTTTATCAGTACCAGGGATCGAACTCACGACTGCTTGCAAGGCTTGCAAGGCGGGCACTTACGCCTCTGAGCTAAATCCCCAGCCCCCTAGTCAGTATATTCTTAGGAAGTACTAGCTCTCAAGCAGGCTGGGACTGAGGACTCCCTGTCTGTTCTTAGTGACTCCATGGTCCCATGGGAGAGACAGGAGGCATAGCTTTGGAAAGTGAACCACCTGGGAGGCTGGGCTGCTGGGGAAACAGAGGCTGGGTTAGCTTAGGGGGGAAGTCGAGCCTGAGCAGTGGGGCTGGGCAGGCTCCAGGCAAGGGGTTGAAGAGCAGGAACAAGGCACTGGCCCACACACAGGTAGGACAGTGCAGGGTGCTTGGGGACCCCAGGGGTGGACCCAGGCAAAACGGTGTCTTGATAAGCTGAGGAGAGGGGACGCTGCCCCCACGTTAGTCACATGGCTGGTGTGGCAGGTGAGGGTATGGGTAGGCTGGGGTCTGCGCTGGGATGGACAGCGGGGAGCTGAACCTCAGCCTCCCTGCCCTTTGTTCTGTCTCTCTGCGGGTCTCTGTGTGGCTAGAGGCCTGGCTTTCTTGGAGGCACTTTGTCCTGTGGCTGGTGTGACCTCAGTCAGGTGTTTAACTTTGCTGAGCTTTGCTGTAGGGTAGAAAGAATAATGCTGCATCAGGAGTGGTGGTGGTTTTGTTTATTTATTTTATATGAAATTAATATTACATGAATTAATATTTAAACCATTTTTATGTGTATGGTTCAGTGGCATGGAGTATATGCACACTGTTGTAGCTTTTTGATTCTCTCTTTCCTTCTCTTTCTTTCCCTCTCTGTGTTTTATCACTGAGCTATACCTCTGGCCAACTATCTAGCTTATTTTTGTTAACCTACTGTGCTCAAGGTGCATCCATATTGTGTTTTTTAAAATTTGCTCTTTGTGTGTGTGTGTGTGTGTGTGTATGCGTGTGTGTGCGCATGTGTGTGTGTCTTTTTGAGACAGGGTCTCGATATGCAGTTCAGGCTGGCCTTGAGCTTACTTTGTAGCCCAGCCTGCTCTCAAACTCATAACGATCCTCCTGCCTCAACCTCCCTACTGCTGGGATTACAGGCATGCATCACCATGCCTGGCTTAATTTACATTTTTAAAATTGGTACATTTTAGATATACATAGAAATAATATTCATCATAAGGAACTTGTTTCTATACTTGATACATCTTTTTTTCTGTATTCCACTACGCTCCCTTCAACCTCCTCCCTTCTTTATTTAAGAAAGCTTTGTTTCCATTTTTTTCTTCTATTCTCTTTTTTCTTGTCCCTTCTTTCCGTGTCTTTCCTCCATATTGCCCTTCTCATTTGAATATTTTCTATTTCACAATAGCTATTATACATTTCGATCCTTATTTACAGTTTTATTTTCTCACACCAGAGAAACAGTACAGTATGTGTACATATGTGTCTGATTTATTTCACTTAGGAGTATGGTCTCAAGATGCATCCATTTACCTAGAAATGTCTCAAGCTTATCTACCCTTCTTTATGTGATAGTAGAACTTGATTATATTAAAAAAAAAAAAACAAATCAGTTGGTGAGCATATGGGCTGTTTCCAAGACTTAGCTATTACAAACTGTG